CCTTCTCTATTATTGCTATTATAAATGATATTATTATTATTATTATTATTATTATTATTATTATTGTTATTATTATTATTTATTTATTTATAAATATTACTACTACTATCATCACGGAGATGTAAAAAATTAAAAAAATGTTTAACATCTCCCTGCTAACATTACTGTTTAGTAATTTTGTTTTTATTTATATTTCATTATTACATTATTATTATTATGTTATAATTGTTCTTATGATTCTTAACATGATCATATCGGTTATTACCGTCAACATCATTAATTTTGTTCCAGGAACTAATGTTACTAATTTAAAATATTATTATTATTATTATTATTATTATTATTATTATTATTATTATCATTATTATTATTATCATAATAATAATAATAAACTGTCGACACCGTGATGAACGCTGAGAGAGTGCACGCTAGACGAAGAATAAAGGCTCCTCAAGATAATAGGAAATAATATACTAGACTCCAAATCCAGGCGTCAGAAGGTTTATAAAGTGAAACATGAGTGACCGTCCAGTTTGGTATACTTTATATACCTGTTTTATACTAAAAAAAATCATTCATTCATTCATTTTAGTCGCCGCTAGGCTGATGCCACTTGTTGAATTAAAAAGGAGGTATTGTATAATAATATTGGTAGCTACCAAGCCAAGGCCTACAACATTATTTTACGCCTTGGCCTAATATAGTCCGTGGAGCTAGGAATATGCCTAGGCCTAGTTAGGGTGCGTGTACATGTGCCAAAAATGTGTGCGACACCACCAGCCGGTACCGGTGTTAGGCCTCACGCAGGCAGCAGCACCGAATTGGACCGTTGATTGGATTCGACCGTGCAAAGTTTTTGGGCGGTGTCATGCATAATAGAGCCGAGAGGCCCAGCCCTAGCTAGGAGGGCCTACGATTTAGATTTATGTAACTGTCAGTGACGTGGCTTTAATTAAATAGTGAACTTATGAAGTGTAAAGTACTAATATGCGTTTCAAATTTCTAATAATCATAAAGTTAATTCTTCAACTGAACGACAAATAAATAGGCCTTTTTCACGAATCGGTAGACATATTGAAGTGATGACAAACATTGCGAATCAGCGGTGCGTAACCAACAGAAATAAGATAAGCTTTTGGGCTGATTTTCTGACATCATGTTATTTAAAAAATCATAACTCCATAACGGGGCGCCATCTCCAAAAAAATTTTCCAGCAAAATGTTTTTAAAAGACTAATCTATACCACTATATGATTGAAAAAAAAATTGAAAAATGTTTTTGACCTCTGAAATCAAGATGGAAGAATAAAAGCCTACCTTAGTAGTGTATTAAAATAGGCCTATGCATTACAGTGCAGTAGCATAGGACTTTCGTGTTGTTACTGTTCCAAGTAGCGATAATATACAGATTTCTCTTATTATAAAGTACAAGTTATGTTTTATAAAGAGGTATAGCATAGTAAATCATGTTTTTAACACAGGAAACTCTCATATGGTAACTAAAACAATGCTAGTTCAGAGTATTACTAGTACTACTGCACTGTAATGCATATACCTATTTTAATACACTACTGAGATAGGCTTTTCTTTTTAAATCTTGATTTTCAATCAAAAAACTTCACGCTGCAAACTCAGACTGTCAATTTCTTACTGATTGCAAAGTGGCAGCCGCTTGTCGTGCTAGCGAACACAGATTCCCTGTACTTATTTATGGGCTTATTTGTTGAAAAAGGTACTTTGTGAGTGGTTAAATCATGTGAACATGTTTGTTAATTATATGTTGTGACTGTGAGAAGAACATTGAGGTAAAAATATTAAGAATTTATGTTCTGGCAATTTCTTACTGATTGCAAAATGGCAGCTGCTCGTCGTGCTAGCGAACACAGATTCGCTGTACTTATTTGTGGGCTTATTTGTTGAGAAAGGTACTTTGTGAGTGGTTAAATCAGGTGAACATGTTTGTTAATTATATGTTGTGACTGTGAGAAGAACATTGAGGTGAAAAAATTAAGAATTTAAAAGTTAGGTGCGAAAGTGCCAGAGAGACCAAGATCTCACATACTGGCAGTAAGTCGGGCTGTCTCTAACTGAGCCTGTGTTATCAACCATGTGACCTTCCCAGGTATGTACCCACAATGCTTAGTGCATTGTCCAATCGTAACTTCTGTTACACCCCAGACCCCCCCCCCAACCGCTTACTTTTGCTTAGTGACAATGATACTGCAGAGAATTGACTGTTCTACTGTACTGCTACATATTGCACATTGTATCTCATTACAAAGGGAAGCTATTATAAACATAACTACATTAACTTATTTTTGTTACAATACATTTATCAATTTACTTTATCATTATTAAGGATCTTCATGAAACAGAACCCCAAGCCGTAGTGTATGAATAATGGAGAGAGGAATACATCAAGATGATTTGAGCCTTGATGGTCAAGATAAATCCAGACTAGATGCTGAAAATACGAAAATAATTCATGGCAGACGATTCTCCATGCAGATCCCATTTGCAGAACTCTGTGTTTTAGAATTTTGCACAGGCATCAAAGATGAAACAAAGGAGTGGGTGCTTAATAGACTCTGTCTTCCAGTGAGCCAGAACGGGGCAGGGGTAAGGACCAGACTAGCGAAGAACGGAAAAAACAAACCACTTTTAGTTTATATTGGTGTCACTAAGGAACGAATGCTGGAAGGGGCAGAGAAAGCATGCCTGAAGAAACGATGCAAAGATGGCACTCTAGCAGAATTTACAATAAAGCACAAAGATTCTTTTGATCAAGAAGGTGAGGAATTATGGGAAATTTTAAAAGTATGTCATTCAAACTAGCTTTCTGTGTTAATTGAGGTACTTTCACTAATAATCCCAATAATAACCCTAATAATATCTTAATAATCTGAATAATCCTAATACTAATCGTATATTTATCCATGATCATAATACTAATTAATAATAATAGTCCTAAATACTGAAAAATCATAATATTGATACTAATAATAATCCAATAAATAACCATGATAATCATAAAATTATTTAAATATTCATAATAATCCTAAAACAATCCGATAATCCTATAACAGTCAATAACTATCCTAATAACAATCCCAATGATAATTCTAATAATAGCAAATTTTCTTCAAAATACTTTGGAATAAAGTGCATTTTTTCCTAATTAAACAAGGATGGCAATAATGCATATTTTCAATTAGTATTGTATTTTATTTTATGTTTTTGTATCTATAGAAGCTGAGTTTCTGAGTACCGCAGAGCAGCAGCGAATCATAAGCTACATCATCTGTAACTTGGTGTCCCCAGATGATGAGGTCATCCCCGGTACCAATGCCAAGGTATACAGGTTGGAGAAAGTCAGTAAGTACTCATGCCTGTAAATTCAATAAAAAAAACATGATATCTGCATGTTGTTTTTGGCAGTCCATGAAAGACAGCATCATGTACTTTTTTGTTTACTTTTCCTAAAATAAATTTTGAATTGGATTTTAAAACCAGTGACGATATCACTCTCACTAACTTCTAGGCCCTCCCTTTCTTTTATTTCTTTTCTTGGTGTCTTTTGTCTTGTATTCTGATGTCTTTCAGGCCCAAGTCTCCCAAAAGTTGTGGGAGTCTCCCAGAAATGGGACCGACATCCCGCAAACAAGCAAGAACCTGCCGGAAAATAGCCAGTCTCCCCACAAATTCATGAAATTTGCTTGTTTTTACTACTTTAATATCAATTGTTTCATGGAGGTCAGTGCTGATGGGTCATCACTATGCACAGAAAAATTGAATTTAATGCATTAAGAAAGCTCATTGAACCAGATCTCCCAGAAAGGGATTTCTTCCAACTTGGGACCCATGTAATTCAATTTGATGATTTGGGGTTCTAATGTGTAAATAACCGTTATTAGATTTCATTGCTTAACTTCAATTTGAAGGGTTTTTTTAAATTTCAGGATAAAATATGATTGATTGATTGTATTGATCGATTGATTGATTGAAGAGTGATTTGTTTGATAATATCTAAATTGTGACTTTTTGTAAAAGGATATTGCTTCCATGCCATTTCATGGATGCTAAGAAGAGTTTTCAGTGCAATTTTTGATGTGTCAGCCACAGGAAGGATGTGGTAATGACTCTGACATGTTAGCCTTCCTCCTTAGTTTGAATGTTGCTCAATAGCTTCATTGTCTATTGTACATGTTTAGTTCTCCCCTTCCCCTTTATGTAAATTTTAGTAATGTAATGCAATACAACATGCCAAAAGTAATATAGTCAAATTCAATATAAACTGGAAATGACTTTTAAATCAGCATAGGGCTCCCCCACCCCTTTTTAAAAATTATTTCTTATAATTGTAATTTTCCATAATTTATGGGGGTTTGAATGTATTTCTAGTTTGTTTTATGGGATAGTAACTTTATCTTAATATGATTGTTCCCAAAATAGTTCCTAGACCTTATTGATTGCCATATTTTTGGAAAAGCCTCCGTAATATATGACTATTATAAATATCACTCATTATCACAGTAATTATTGTGTTGGAATTGATTTTCATATCCTTTAGAATAGCGTAAGTGTAATATATTTTTTATACCTGTCAGTGCACCATAATAATTTAATTTCTCATATCAATGGTATGAGAAATGTGTATAGCGCCCTCAACTTCAACATCTGAGTTCTTTATATTGCAGTTATCAAGTGCATGAATTTAGGGATCATAAGCAGACTGTACCCATTGCACCAACTTGAGGAACTTGATGAGCTTAGCAAGGCATGGTACCAGAGCTTGCGCAATGTTATCAAGCAACCCCATGGTACAATACAATTACATTAAATAATTCAT